TTTTGTGCCTGAAGTCCATCAGTGTCCATCCATCTTCATCAAGAACGCAGGCACATTTCTTGACGTAAAGCACCGTTGACTGCTCTGACAGAAATCCACTATTCACTTAGATTTTTGTCATGTTTTTGAGTACTTTTGGTATCCTCCATTCATTCAACTGTCTTTTTTTCTTTTCTGTTTTTCTTTCTTTCATTTTTTTTCTTTTTTGGACAGGGAAGCTTCCTATTGTTTCACAGAGTGCTACAATACTTGCTTTGATGTCACATTAAACAAATGTACATTGTCTCTTTGTTCTCATTAAGTGTTCTTTTGAGCCAGTTTTTTCACACAGGAGAACAAATAAAGTATACAGTCAATAAGCACCATACATAGTAGGTTCAGGAATGTAACAAACCATGTACATCCATGTCCCAGAGAGAAGTTTTTTTTCTAGCTTATTTTCACCTTACATCTGCAGGAGAGAAAAAAGATACAATAACTCTATGATTAGAATCAAAGGTCCTATCCTCTAAGTAGATGACTTATAAAAAAAAAAACTGTTCTGCATGAAGAGTCACTAACCTGGGACAAGAAGTTCTAAATGCTGTTTTGATTGAGTTTACATGCTCACTTTTAAAGTTGAATTTTAGAAAATCTTTGCTTCTATCATACTACTCCCAATAAATACCTGTTAATCTGAAACAGGATACCAAGTTTAGCATTCTTTAGAAACGATACATCAGTATAAACGAAAACTGCCATTGGGAGTTTATGTGCAAAAATAGGTGCTTGAAATTAAATTCACCATCATCCAGGCGTTAGGCACATACACTGCAAAATCCAAATCATTCCCGCTCCAAATACTAGAATCAATTGCAAGTGCTGCAGTTTACATAATTTCAAGTGATTAGGAAATGGAAATTCCATACTCAATTTGGAATGTGCATTGCCATCGTCGTACACTGCTAATATGCTGGCCAAAGGATTTCAGGCATTTTTGCATTGAGAGGGCGTTAATTTTTCACTACACTGAAAACATCATGAATTTTGATGACTGTCATCATCCTACTGAGACTGGACAGACCAAAAAAAAAAGATCTTAATTTTCTGGTGTAAGTAACACAGGGCCCTGCAACACAAAAACATGGTATTTCTAAGCATCTTCCTTGTCAGGTAGGCAGATCGGACCATCTCAGGTGCATGTACAATCAATCCCAGTTCATGCCAAAACATGGGTTTGATGGTCATGCATATAATAGTATTTGCTGTATATACACTCAACGTTTTACAGCCAATGACTGGGAACACAAGAATTTGTAACCTGGCAATTCATTCATGCAGTATTATGTGATGCTTTGACCTCAGAAATCAATAATAATGAAACAAAAGCAGAGGCAATGGAACTTGAGATTTCAGAAGCTGAAGTATTAGCACCCTCCAAAAAAAGAAACAAAAAAGGCAAGAAAAGGAAGTAGCTCAAGAATGTAAGATGCTGATGGTGATGTGGAGCTTAAAGGAAAAATACCAGCAGGTAGAATTATCAAAGCCAATCAAATCTTATCTCTTTGCAGCCTTGAGGTAGCAAGTGTCAAGATTTTGAACAGTGATTAAGTTGAAGTGATGATATTTGATTAAGTTTTCCAGTACTTGTGCTATTAGGGTGTTCAGCATATAGGTCCTACCTGAATATCAAATAGTTCCAGTAGGTTTTATGTTGGTTTTAACTTTTTTCGTTTCCGTTTTTTACCTGATTCCCTAGGCCTTCCTGTTAACATAAGGGCAGGGCTGGTAAAAAGCCCTAAGGTAATGCATTTCGTTGAACACTGAAGTAATAAATACTCAAACCGTTTACATTTCAAAGAAATCTCATTATCTTTTGCATTAAAGTAATAACTTCATAATGTTTGACTTGACATTCCGTTTACAAAGTTATTATACAAAAGTAAAGAAATAATAAACGAAGTTAGCATTGCATACGTCATTTCCAAGATCCATCTATAATTACTGTTACCATGCAGTATTCAACATTTGCTTTCAGCTCTGTAGTCAAGCTATTTTCAGCTCATCATCCACTTGCTGGTGCAAGTTTTGTTCCTATCAGTAATTAAATCCTAGAAATCTGTATTCTTCCATGACAATTCTACCCCATTTTTCACACACACCAGAAAGAAAAGTTTTCATCTTAAAATCTTAACTGCTTAGTCTTTGGCAATTAAAGACATTTTGGAAAACTGAAATTGATCTAATGAAAGGTTTTTTCCAAACAAAAAACATAGAAAAAAAAATCAAACCATGCACACATGAAAATAACCATTTTAAATGTGGGTTTGTCTACTCATAACTCAACCCAGTTTCAGCTAAAACACTCAGCTCAGATTATAAACTGATGTCCAACAAAATCACAGCAGAGGCCTAACTTTGCTTTCATACAAATTCTAATTCTTCTGCTCTGTACATAGCAACTGAAGTTTACGTTCGCTTAGACCAGATTTATGTCTCCATGCTGGATGGAGACAGTACAGAAAACCCTTCCTGACCCAGCCACCTATGAATTCCATCACCTTTGGGCAGCTTTCCTCCTATATTTACCTGCTCTTCACTGACTCTAATTTTGGGGCCGGCTCAACTGCACCCCTAAATTCCTGGCAGAGGTGAAAGCAAACTTCTGAGGCTGCCTTCAACCAAAATCAGGAGGAAGGGAAGTGTCCTTTCTACTGTAGTGAGTTCCCTGAATATGTGTCAAGTTCTGCATTGATTGCACCCTAGTAAGAGGATCCAAGCTAACAATTTTAAGTGGTTTTATGAAAGTCACATTGAAAGTCAATACTCTTCCCCATAAATCTTTCCGCATGGTAACTTAAATGTTGGCTTGATAAAGCAAACTTACATTTAACGTGGCAACTGACAATAAATTCTTGACTATATATAAGTAAGCAAACAACAGGAACAGGCAGTGTTGTTTCAAAACTCCTTACTCCTGAATATTGAATTTATTGCTAAGTGCTTTACATTAATTTCATTAATATTTTCCCCAAGGTCAAGTAAATCTCAGCCTTAGACCTGTCTTCACAAAGTCTAAAGAAATTAGGCAACAGAATTCACCAATAAGATGGAACATGACAACCTTTAACTTAGTTAAGCAAGACCTGAATACTATCGGGCATTTACGTTTATTTAAAGGCTAACCTAGTAAGAATTGATAAAACCGTAAACTTCAAATGCAAACTCTTTATCCAGCACAAACTGTCCCTAATTTTGCATCTTCAACACACAGAGAAGTAGCTGGGAGCTTCTCTACTGAGTTCACTGGAAGCAAAGTTTGCTTTACATTCTTTACTAATATAAAAATAGGGTCCATATGAAATCAGCATTAATGCAAAAAAAAAAAAAAAGGGGGAAAACATACCAGTTTCTTCTTCTCTATAATCTGAATTAGTATTTGATGATGTACAGGTGCATTCCATATGCTCTTCTAATCTCACCAGAACTTCTTTTAATTTTGGCTTTTTTCTAACATATTCCACTTTTGCCACCTATAAAATACAATGAGGTATGTACTGAGACATTAACATAGTTATAGTTCAGAACTGAAGACAGGTAACTATAGACCTCTATGTTTTAATGTAGCCAAACCCATATAAAATGTTAGCATACTAATCATCTTTTATCTTAATTGTGCATCGTGTAACTATTTATTGCACAGACTATTTGTTTATTCAAGTTCAGCAGTTTGAAACAATTTTCTTTTCCCCCAAGAGATAAAACGATTTTGCATTCATTTTGGTTTGAAGTTTTAAGCAACTCCGTTTTCACGTACATCACAATAAACTTCTATACGGATTCAAATCAGTGATTGTTCTTGTAGACTGCCACTTTTACCATGATCTTCTGTACATGTTGACCACTGTTCTTAAGCTGAAGGCTAACAGTGAAGGCATTAGGTTGGTTTGTAATGCATTTTACAATTTACAAGCTGGTGTCTCCAGAACCCTCTGAATGTGAAGTGCCCAACTCTTTACAGAACCAGGATCTGAATATCAGCTTAGAAAGCAGCAATCTCAAGCCTACTCGCTTCTTGCAATGACCTGGGACTTGTTTAGAGGAGTTCCCATGCACTGTTTTCAGGTCCAAGGGAAGTACCAATCGCAAACTGGATCCAGCCTTTGGCTTTATTGTGGATAGCTGGCAGGTACGCTATTTCTCTCCAGTCCATTCAACTGCTTCCAACTGCACTGCTCCACTTTGGACCAAAGCACTGGCATCCTTAAAAAAAAAAGTCTGGAGGGAAGGTGAGGTTGGAGGAAGGAGCATGCTGGAGAAGCTCTGGCTACATGCAGGTCTCACATCTGAAGGAAACCAATGCAGAAGAGAAGGACGTTATGGTGGGGGGTATACTGAATATGAGAACATCCTGAGCAACTTGGTGCCGGCAGCCAGGAGAGGAGGAAAGGCGTGGGAGGCAGGAACACTGCCATGCTGGAGCGCTGAAATGGGTTGCGGGATGCTAGACACAGACTTATGCCAAGTGTTAACGGGCACGATGGTCATGGCCATGCAAGGGAATACGGCATAACGTGGGCAAATAGACAGCATGTAAGGGGTCCAATGTTTAGTTTACAATTGTGTTAAACACTGAATGAAGAGGTGATAACCATTTCCATTTGAAATGGAAATCGCTAAAATGAAATCATGGCTTCTCAGTCCTACTAATGATTTATCTACCATTTGACAAAAGGAGGCTGCAATGTGGCTGTCCCAGCAAACAAGAAGACTACATACTACAGGTATGCATTATAAATCAGATAGATAAGGGATTAGAAGGACAAGAGAGGCTGGTTGTCTCTACAAAAGTTACATGACAAAGCTGTAAAGTCTCATCCAACCAAAAGCTCCAGTTACTACCAAATAAAGCATCCACAATTACATGAGACTCTCCTGGTAATGGTTTACTTGTGTATTTGGTGGGGATTTAATGCTCCAAATCAATCTTCACACTATGAAAATGATTCCCTGGCTCTCCCAAAAGTGGAACAACAGTGTCACAAAATGAGAGTGGTGGCTGGAAAAAAGCATCACATTTCCAGTTCCCAGAAACACTCTTCTGGCTCTGTGGACACAAACTACCAAGGACCTCTGAATGACGGTAACAGAAGCTAGAGCAAAATCCTGGCGTTATTAAAGTCAATGGGAGATCTGCCATTGCTTTCATGGATTGAGGAGTTCAGATCCACATTTTAGTCAACACCTCTTCTGTCAACAGGATCTGGAGATGATTTTCATTTACCCAGCAAACAAAAGTTGCAGAGAGACAGATGCAATAACTAAAGTGTCCACATTAAAAGGTATCTTCCAAGACTGCCAGATCTCCATATAAACAGATTAAGAACTGGCCGTGACATACAAGAATGCTTTTGCTGAAAGACTAACTATGGATCGAAGCAGTGTATTTCAAAATCTCCTATCGGAACCCAAGTCCATCAAGCCTTTGAACACAAAAATTTGAAAATGTATGGTACAACTGAGTCATCTGGCATCAAAGGATGACTAATCCTTAAAATTTACAAAAATAAACAGTAATTAAGACACCTCCACCATCAGAGACAAAGAAAGAGACCCAGCAATCATGAAACAGCTTTCAGATCTGCCATGCTTATTACAGCTGTTAGAATAAACCAGTCTTACTGAAAATTACACGCAACAAAAATAAACTGTAATCAAGCTTTTTAAAGTCTGTCCTTGTTTTGCTTTGTTTTCCACACTGAAAGATACATGCAGTTCCCGTGGCTATTTGGTATTAAACAACAGTAAAAAAAAACAAAAGAAGGTAATACTTTGAAGAGTAGGATCATAATGAATTTATGCAGCAATTGAGAGCTGTTTTTTACTGTCCTGTAGTTAAAATACAATCCAGCATATGTTCCACTGCCCCACTTCATGCTACACAAGTTAAAGGAATGTCGTTTTTTAAGATGTTTCAAATATTCAAACTGAAGCAGCACAAACCAGATAAATTGCTGTGCTTGTGTCATCTGTTAATACCTGCTGCCACACAGGATCTGCAATTAATGCTAATCTAAAATTATGTGGGTTGCAGGTCAGGTTTTCAGTGGGTTAAACAGGGATAGCTACGCTAACAGCATGGGATTTGGCCTTGTGTTAGCATCTTTTTTCTTCTTTGTATTTTTCTCCCTGGTGTTTATCTCGTGCAGTTACTCTCAAGCACATTACCAAATGCTTTGAGATGGTCAGTCCTCAACAAACCAACATCAGCTTCTTTTACTTGTCTCTAATGCAAAAAAACTAAAAACCCATGACAACCTCACATCCTCCAAAACCACAAAATATCACTATGTAAAAACTCTCTAAGAGAAAGACAGTGAAATAACTGACTAGTTTAGTTAAATGGCGTATAACCGGTGGCACCATACTTGTATCAGTGTAGACTCTCGGCACTATCCTGCAGCATGGTGTGGTGGCTAAGTGAAAATGAAAATAAAATCTGATAAAAATAGGTGGGCTAACGGAAACGTCATGGGAACACCTTTTCTAGAGCTTCTCCAGGAGACATGAAATCAGGGAGTAAGAACAGGAAAAAACCAAGACTGTAAGCAGAAGTGCCCAAAACACCTCTAGCACAAAGCCAAAATTTATCATGGGCAGGAACTTGCAAGAGAAGTCTCAGCGCAGAAAATTCCTCCTAACAGCAAAACTCATGTGGCTGATAACCAAATACAGGATGGGAAATAAAACCAAAAAACAACTGAATGAGGATGCTTTTTGAAAGCATCTACTTCCTCAGTATTAAAATAAATGTGTGCTGATACGATGAAGGGAAAACCTCCCTTCACCTTGCAACTGTGATCGTTACAGCCCTCAGGTCTGCGAGGAAGACGTAAGTCAACAGGGCATAAAGGCACCAGAAGGACGGAGCAGGGAGCAGGGATCCTGTGGGGCCTGGCAAGTCAGTGAGCGTTTCGCAGGACTGGAGCCACCGCTCCAGGGACAGGACGGCAGCACTGACGCGCCTGGTGCCTTCCAGGACACACCACGGCAGCTGCGCGCGCCTCCCCAGCGCAGGCAGGATGGGAAGCAGTGGGGATGCCAGCCACCTCAGAGCCTGGCAGCCACCCATCCTAAAATAGCCACTAAAGACATTTACAGGGCACTCCTCAGGCAAAATCCCTACCTAACAAAAGCCTTGTGCACAGTTACTTAGGATGGGGTAGGGAGAATTTTCCCTGCAGGGAAGCGAGGCCCAGGGGTGCGCTGTCCTTTTACCGCACAAGGGGGGGCGGCCCTGCCGCAGCTCCAGGGACAGGGGGTGGCCCTGTCAGTGCCCGGGACAGGGAGAAGCTCTGTCACAGCCCCGGCTCGGGGGGGTGCGGCCGGGCCAGGCCCCGGGGCGGCGGGAAGCCCTCTCCCGGCAGCGGGGGACGCTGGGAAATGCAGTCCCCGGCACGCGGGAAGGGGA